ATCACATTTCCCTGACCAAGGGGATTTGCATTTCAACAAGAGACAGTCCTTTAGCCAAAAGCAATGCTCCTCTAAGAAGGAGGGACAGATATCATTGGGTTAGGGAACCTTCCTAGGCCCCTCAAATTACAGCATATAAACAGCCATCTCCTTTGCCTAGAGGTAAGACATGCCCATCATCTAGGGTCCTAGGGAGACCTTCAAAAAAAGCTTTAACTTAACTCACCCTATTTCCTAACTCAGAGTCCAGTAATTCACTTTCTTCTTGATCCAAGCAACAGGTGCCATTTTCCTTACTCTGACAGCAATCAGTAGCCTAGAAAGAAACAAGAATGAAGTTGCTGCTAATAGCCAGAAGCTTTAAAGGCAAAGAATTATTGTAGCAATTAATAATTAAAGGCTTCCCTATCATATTTATAAAGTATCGTGCATTGGAGTGAGAGACTATACAGTATAGTGGATGGTGGGCCTGCTTCTGACACAGATGAACTTTTTGATCATGGGCAAGTTATTTAACTTTTCTGTGCTCCAGGCTGACCGATCAAGATTTAATTGCTGAACTGGTGATAGGCATTCTAGATCACAGAGCCAGACCACCCTTTCCCACCCCAACCCTCTCCATCCAAAAAAATAAAAGTATCAGATTCTCTGATTCTTATTGAGGAGGAGAGAACTATATCCTATCCCCTATTTGTTTGAGCTATGTTTTCCAATATATAAGCCTACAGACTAAGCATACTGTTTGACATCCAAATGCTAGGTTTGGCTAAGCTGTAGCATATGTGAGGAGTAGTAATATATTATAAGGCTGAAATGGTAGGTTGGAACCAGGCTGTAAAAGGTTTTAAAAGTGAAACAGGGAAGATTGCATTAGACATTAAGGGGAAAAAAAAAACGGGAAGCCATTAGGGTTTATGAAGCAAAAGCGTGACAAGATCAAACTTGTACACTGGTGAGCTAGTGAACATTTAACAATCAGATCTCTGGGAGGAGAAACACCTACAGCATTCTTTTCAATTTAATCTGCATTCTTAAAATGTTCCTCCTTGTTTTCTTAAGTCTAAATAATCAACAGCACAATAAACCATTTGCTGATTTCTGAGGTACAAAATGCTCATGCTGAAAATTTAAATCATGCTTTCTTGGGCCAGTACAAACTGACTCCAGGACACCTCCTGGACCTGTACTTTAGGAATATCAATTTGGCAGCAGTTCGGAGGATGGATTAGAAAGAGGAAAGACTTGAGAACATGACACCTATTAGAAGGCTTTTGTAATAGTCCACACAAGAGGGGCTGAAAGCATAGATGGTAGCCCTGTGAGTGGAAAGGTGAGGATAGGGATAAGACATGTGGGGAAAGAAAGACCAGATTTGGCATCTGATTAGAAACTCTTTGGGGATGGAGGAAAGTGACGGGTTGAGGATGGCTCAGGGGTTTTGAACCTGAGTGCCTGGAAGAATGGAGATATCCTTGGGGAAAAAAACAAAACAAAACAGTAAAACATAAGCTCCTTGAGGGAAGGAACTTTCTCGCATTTGTTATTTGTCTCCCCAGTTCTGAACACATAGTAGGCATTTAGTAGTTACTTGTTGACTAATTGATAAAACAATCCTGTGTACAACGGATTTGAATCAAAAATAGGGGAGTTAGGCAAGGAGCTAAAAACAAAGCCACGACCATCTCAACAGCATTAAATGCTTCCACTAAAGTCAGATTAGAGCAACGTCTCAAGTGAGACAAACAGTATCATAATAATAATGATAATTTTAACAACTTATATTGCCATAGCAATTTTAAGTTTCACAAATTAATAAACATATATATGCACATATAATATAATAACATATAATATGACTATTATATAGTAACAGATTTAACCATATCTCCAAATCATTCTCCCTGCTATCTCCACCCTGACTCCAGCATTCTAATTAACTGGGGAAAATTAAATAAAATGATTTTTTCCCTTCTTACTTTACAGAAAGTCTTGCAAGCATCTACTATGGGCCGATATCCCGTGCAACGGCACAAGTTACCTGAATGAGAAAAACAACACACCAGTGTTAACTGTGCATATGAACTTGAGTTCCAGTCTTCCCATATATTGCCTAGTTTGTTACCTACAATGAGAAATGTGTAAATCTAAATCAGGGCACTGATGAAAACTTTGGGTCAAGCTCTCTCCTCTCTGTCAGGTACCTGGAATGTCTGATGGAGAATACTGGAAGAAGGGAAAACGAAGACCACACATTCTGACAGCTCCAAGATATATGTTGTTCTCTAATATCAATGGATCTATGACCTTCTCAATATGGGTTTTTTCTCTACTAGTGCAAGTCACAATCAGGGAATCAAAGGATCACAATTTTACAGCTGGTAGGGCGTTCAGGGTCTAGTCCAGGGGTGGGGAACCTGTGGCCTTGAGGCCACATGTGATCCTCTAGGTCTTCAAGTGAAGCCCTTTGACTGAATCCAAACTTCACAGAACAAATCCCCTTAACAAAAGGATTTGTTCTGTAAAACTTGGACTCAGTCAAAAGGCCACACCCAAGGACTTAGAAGGCCACTTGTGGCCTTGAGGCTAAAGGTTCCCCACCCCTGGTCTAGCCCAAATGCTTCTTTTTTACATATCGAAAAAAATACATATTTACATTTTTTACATGCTAAGAAAAAAAAAGCCATTCAGTGACTTGCCCAGAGTCACACAGAAAGAGGTAGAGCCAAGTAATTCATCTATGGCTCCTAGTTTTATGTAATTCTTGTCTAGGCCTTTCAATAAATCTTCACACAGAGGATACACCCAATGTACAAGAGACCTGCCTACGGGTCTTTTACCATTTGGTAGATATCACTAGGGCTTTCTTTCTCTTACTACATGACTAGCTGGTCTCCTTTTAAAAATTATTTCCATAATTTTCATAAATTTAATAAATTAACTTGGATCACACACTCACAGAATTTTAGATTTGGAAGGGACTTCAGTAACCACCTGGTCTAACCCATACTCAAAAAGAATCTCTACTATCACATTCTTGACAGGTGGTTATCCATCCTGTCTGAAGACTTTCAGTAAGGGGGCACCTACTACTTCCTAAGACAGCACACTCCACTTTAATAACTAACATTTATATAGCCAGCATTTATATAGTGCTTACTATGTGCCAGGTACTGTGCTAAAGACTTTACAATTATTATCTCAATTGATCTTCACAACAACCCTGGGAGGTAGGTGCTATTCATATCTCCATTTTACAGATAAGGAAACTGAAGCAAACAAAGGTGAAGTGACTTGCCCAGCTAGTAAGTGTCTGAGGCCAGATTTGAACTTAAGTCTTCCTGACTCCAAGCCTGGTTTTCTACTCACTGTGTCACCTAGCTGCCAGCTCTCATTGTTGGAAGTCTTTCTCATCATTCAGCATTAATTTGCCTCTTTGCAATATCCAACAGCTGTCCTTGAACCTTTGGCACCAGACAGAAAATTCTCTTCCTTCTTGTATATGGTCACCCTTCAAATACTTGAAGACAGTGACTTTATCTCCCGCTGAGTCTTCTCTTCTCCAAGAAAAATATCCCTTTGTCTCCTATGACATAGACTTAAGGTCCTTCACTTTCCTGCTCATTCTCCTCCATGTGCCTTCTGACTTAGCAGCAATTAAACCTTTTACACAACTCTAAATGGATTTTCCATCTCATTGATGTGAATACTTTTCCCAATGGGGCAGATCAAAATCCAGCTATACTTTCTTAACCTCTACATGTCCTTCCATAAATCCCCTATGGAAAGGTTCATCCAGTTTTCTGGGGGAGTCTTCTTCTTAACAAGGGAGTTTAGCCTTTTTTGTGTCATGGGCCCCTTTGGATGTCTGGTGAAGCCAATGGGCCCCTTCTCCAAACATTTTTAAATGAACAAAAAACAGGTCTATAAAAGGAAATCAATTATATTAAAATCCAGTTATTAAATAAATATAATGTTATCAAAATGTTTTAGTAGCAAGTTCACAGATCCCGGATTAAGAATTTCTGCTCTAGATTCTGTACCACTACATGGGTTCCAATGGAAATCACGGGCAATTCAACAACAATAAATTCAGCAAATAGATTTAAGGCCCTTCAAAATCAATCTCCAGTTTACTTTTTGAACTTTCTTTAATATTATTACCTTTCATTCACTCTTTGTTTTAGCCAAACTGGACTACTAACAGTTCTCCAAACTCCATTCTATCTCCCACTTTCCTACATTTCCCCCAGTCATCTTCTATACCTAGAGTGGCATTACAGATAGAGTACTAGACTTGAAGTCTTGAAGACCTGGGTTTTAATTTGGCCTCTGACACTAACTGGTTCAGCGACCCTGAACAAGTTACTTAATTTCTATCTACCACAGGCATTTCTCTTAGCTCATAAGTCTTAGGCTAAATAACCTACTTCCTTTTCTAGTCATACATCTCTTGATGTCTCTTTTATGATGCTTTCAGTGTGCAATTTTTGACAGGAATAAACTTTAGCTGCCTTAGATCCACCATACCACTGCAATGCTCTCTGATGACCTGCAACTTTATTTCCATGGTATTTCATGATTTTGAGTCACTTGGTACAACTAGAAGAATATTGAGGCTAAAAAAGATGGATCTTTGTTTCAGAGAAAAGTTTGGGGTTATTAAAAAAACATTCAAATAAATAAAAATAAAATGCAAATCAGCTCTTTCCTGTTTATTCTGGACCTATTCATTGTCCATCTAGAAAAGAGGTTCTTAACCTGAGGTCTATGAATTTATTTTTAAAAATATTTTGATAATTGCATTTCAATATAATTTCCTTTACAATCCTGTATGTGTTATTGATTTTATGGAAAGACATTCTTTTGAGAAGAGGTCTGTAGGCTTTACCAAACTGCCAAAGGAGTCCATTACTCATAAAAAAGGTTAAGAACCCCTAGTCTATAGTATCTGTCCAAGATTTTTGCACTGGTGGATCAGCTTTATGCACTATCCATCCAAATACTTGTCATAGTCTGGACAAGAGACGTTCTTGTTTTTCCAATACAGATAGTTTTAAGTGATGGAGAATTCAATCTAAGAAACACAACAGTGTCTCTGGGTTTGATGTAATCTGTACAATTCCATGCATTGACAGGATAATCTGAAGGACATTGTCATCTATAAGGAATCCTTCTTCCATTGGATTCTGCACAACTCCATGACAGTGGCATATGCCTTTGGTGAGCATAGATCTCTCTAACAGAAGTTTATATTAAGATTGTTACCTCTGTTACATTTTCCAATGACTCACATGATTTCTCATATGTGTTGGAGGCATATTGTTGGAAGAAGGCATTTAAGGTGCTACTTTGCTCTATAGAATCAAATGGCTTTTAATAGTCAACAATATAAATGACAGTGGGATACCACAATTTAACTTTTTTACCTTTCAGCCATTTCCGTGACCATAAAGCTGTTGTGTGGTTACATATAGAATATCATTTATGAAAACCTCTCTTTCCTTCTCATATATGCACCAATAGATGTGTAGATCACGCTCAAGATATTTTTTAGTTATGGGAAATTAGGCATATAGGTCAGTACTGTTATTTTCTCATCTGCCTTTTCTTTAATATAGCAATTGTCTGTGATTTTTTTCCCTCACAATCATTTGGAATTATTCCCTCTTCCATGTATCTTTAGCACCAATTCTTCAGTGCCCTCAAAATAGTATCATTTTCAGGATGGATTTTCTTCTCTTGGTACAGCTAGTCTAGTCTATCTGTTATACCCATCTTTCTTGTCTTTAGTGCCATTTCCACTTTCTCCTGGGAACTGGGATGTAAGCATCTAACCTTGGTGGTTCCACTGTCATTGATGAAGGAAAGAGTTTTATATGGAGATCTCGAAAGCTATTTTTCACTTTTCATCTACCCACTATCCTTCTAATTCCTTCTTTCATTGTTCTCAGGACGAGCTAGGTTAACTAGATCTCTCATCAAGCTTTCTGTACACCATTTTTCTCCTCTCTATTATTTTTTGCTGTTTTTATAAGGCAATATCATTCATGATCTTCCACCATCCTCCTTCATAAGATGTTACAAATGGATTAATATCCTAACCATGTACTGCCAAAGGCTGCTAGGACTTCTAATTTAGCAAGGAGATCAATCTTTTGCAGCCTGAGGAAGTTTCTAGAAATGTTTATTTTGCTTATTGTGTTGATTTATACTGATTAAAATTCTTTATGAAAACGATAATCTGTTCTTTTGTCTAATCCATATTTTTTTTTGTTTGGGGTGGTTTTTAATTGAATCCATGATTTTTGAACAAGTAAAACAGAACTGGAACATCTTAAGCTTTTGATATTTTCTTTATAGATTTACCTAGAACACTTTTTACAAAGAAAACTATACAGACGATAGTGGAGTAGAGGAAGTAGGGCAGTGAGGAGCTCCCCAGCAAAATGCCTCCAAACAGATCTAAAAAATGCACCAGACTGAATGCTGATGGGGAAAGTCACAGTGAGTCATCTGTCCAGCCCAGGTTAGCATAGGGAGACAAAGAGGTTTGCAGACAATGGGAATGTGGCTCAGTAAAGAACATGACAAGCATAGAACATTCCAGCACCCAGGGAGAATCTATGACCTGGGGAAAGAAGGGGTCCTAAATCCACCCTGGGGCACTCTTACTCTTCTAACTTTGTTGCCTATTACCCAGTCTAGGTTACAGATGCAGGGAAGACTGGAAAGAGGACTTAGGCCCTCCCACCCCACTCAAAGTTGTCTCAAGCCCTGGGCAGTACACCAAAAAATGAGCAAGTTCAGAAGCAAACACCAACGATGTGGCTCACAGCCCAGGAGCAGAGCAGGGTTACTTTCAGCTTCTAGTTCAACTTGAAGCCTGCAGAGCAATAATCAGGGCAGAAATCCCACAACAAAAGGGAACTTGTAGTTCTACAGGACTGAAAAAGTGTAGCTTCCCAGATGGTTGACAGTGGCTGAGTCTAGCAACAGTCTGCTATTGCTCAAATATAAACCCAGGTCCATAATTTGCAAAGCTCAGAGTTGGAGTGGGGGTGGGGAGAGAGCAATCAGACTTTATCCTGAATAAGGCCATCTTAAAAGCGCTGAAAGCTTTCAAGTCCCACATCTGAGCTGTCCCTCAGATTCAAGAATGTGGTAATAGGACCAGCCCAGACCTTCCCTACAGCAATGTATGAAACCTGGCTCTAATATCCTCTGCAGTCAGCAAGTGAACTGGAAGAATGAAGAAAAACAACAACAACAACAACAAAAAAGCTATTTTCTTGACAGAGCTGCTCAGGGCACAAATTCAGAAGAAGAGAATAACTCCAAAACATCTAAAAGCAAGTGTCAAAATAAAAGCTTGGGCACAAACTCAACTGGAATTCCTGAAAGAGATGAAGCAAGAGTTAAAAAGAGCTAAAAATGTTTTTTTCATGAAATGACAGACCTAAAAAAAATGGGAGAAAATGGGAATTGTGGAAGAAAGCCTTGGAAACAGAGCTAACTTGGTAGAAGAGGTACAAAATCTTGCCCAAGAAACAAACTCTCTGAAATTTAGAATGGACCAAATAAAAGCCAATGATTTGGTGGGGCAATGAGAAATATTAAAACAATGTGAAAGACTAAAAAAAAAAGAAGAAAACAAAAAAGAAAAAAGAAAACAAAGGAGAAAATGAAGTTTCTGCCTTTTTTTTCTTATTTTTTATTGGTGAGGCAATCAGAGTTAAATGACTTGCCTAGAGTCACATGGTCAGTAAGTGTCCTGTGTCTGAGGCCAGATTTGAACTCAAGTCCTCCTGACCCCAAGGCTGGAGCTTTATCTGCTGTGTCACCTAGCTGCCCCATACTTTCTTTTTTTCCTGCCTTTTTAAATTTTTTATTGAAAATATAATTTCATTGCAGGAACAATTGACCTGGACAACAGATCAAGGGTGCGGGGGCAGGGATTAAGAATCATCTGACTGACTGAATGCCATGACCAAAACAAGAGCTCAGACATTGTATTTCAAGGAATAGTAAAAGAAAACTGCCCAGATCTCTTGGAATCAGAAGGCAAAGTGGAGAGCAAAGTAGAAATAGAAGAATCTATCAATCACCTTCTGAAAGAAACTCCAAAATGAAAACTCCCAGGAATGCTATAACTAAAATTCAGAACTTCTGGATAAAATTAAAAAGTACTAAAAGTGGCCAGAAAGAAAGAATCCAAGTACCAAGGATCCACAGTTAGGATCACACGTGATTTGCTACTTACTACTAAAAAGGAGTAAATAATTTTGGATAACATATATCAGAAGGCCAAGGATATAGACCT